TTTTTTGGGGGAGGGGGTGGAAAGGGGAAATAGGATAGGCAGAAAAGGAAATTTATAGAAGTGTAAAGTAAAAATGTAGTCGCATTTTTGTCCCGCGGCCGCCAGGAATGACTTGTTCCGCATTACATTTCAAGGCGTGCGCGGCGCTGCGCGCCTGAGGCTTCACTAATATAGCTGCAGAACGGTAAGTTGGACCTCAAGTAAGCTGAGATAGACGACCACCTAACCAAAATTTCTATTTTTCGGGAATTTCAAGAAACCTGTAACTTGATAATTGGTTTTTCCGCAATACGCTAAACGATAATACGTATTAGGATAATCTACAGATAGAAATCAACAACACTTCTATATACAATAAAATAAAAATGCATATAGCAGTTATTAAAGTATATTTCACTGCGTATCCTAATTCTCCACTCACAAAACATGCTGGGAGTGGAGAGTAGTGAGAAGGACTACACAAGCTACTGTTGACAGTAATTTTTTAATCAAAGTGAAGGCATGCAAAATAGGTAACAACGTAGACAATCGTGTTTCGCGGATCTTGTTCCGCCGTATGAGGCAGCTACGAGGTGTTCGACTCAAAAACGTTTAGACTCAACTTAAATGGTTGCCCTTTGAAGGGTTTATTTAACGTTCGCCCAGTTATTTCCTTGAAAATGAAACAACACAGAACGAAACTAGTGTGGATGTATTAGATAACGCCTTGGCCATTTGAGTCATCCTGGGCCACAAGGTCGGCGACTGGACTTGTAACTGCTACCTCTGCTGTCAATATCGCAAACAATTACGTGGACAAGTGTCGTACTTGTCGTCATCTGCATGCCATACTGCCACTGTCAATTAAACCCATGTCAGCTGTGTGTTGGGTTCAGTTCTGTTCAGTTCAGGTCAGGACAGCACAATGAAAACAGATCTTATCCATCTTCATGATGTGGACCTGCAGTTCAGGCAGCATGGCGTTTGAAATCTGTGACTATCAAGTGCCTCGGTTTCAGATTCTAAGTGCTAGTCTCGATTGTTCTTGACTACTGATAACAAACGGTTACAATTTCCCATGTTTCATCGGTACTGATTCTCGATTATTGATTGCTCGCCGTCATGCGACATCCTGCGAGGGTGAAGATCCGTAGCCCAGAGGAAACACAGAAATATCGACGCAAGTATTATAATCACGGCAATTCAGTACTCGTACTTCTCGAGGAAATTAGAACCTACTGTTTTGGTACGTTAATTATTTAGGAGACTTTTCGGTCCCTGCTAGAGTAATTTGCGTTGCAAGTATTTCCGCAAAAGTTCGCTGTGATTCTGCAATACGTACCTTACTCAAGAGAAAAAGGGGGTTCTAGCTGATGTGCGAGCTAAAGGTTGAGGTCAAGGGAGTAATACACAACCAAAAGACATTTTGAGGTCCAGTGACCTGAATTAGAAGACAGAAAACGGTCCATATGACCACTTGAACACAAAAAGTGTATTTGAACAGTCTATTGCTGGTAGATATATTTTATCGGCCATTCACCATCGGTCCGGTACACTCGCATGGATAATAAAAACCGGGCATTTGGAAAGGGTTATTAAGTGTCTTTTGAGAAGAACACGACTCGATCGCTAGGACAATACTTTTATTCGCTCCGATTTCTTTCAGGCATATGCGCGTTGCCCGCATTGCTGGTTGCCGGCCCCAGTTGTTGCATGCCGTGTCTGTCCCCTCATAAGTATGTTCTTACAACAACATAAGGGACATTTAAATTTATTCGCTGGTTTACTCAACAGTCGGTGCTCTTTCTAGCTTCTTTTATCTGCCTTGATATGTGAGCATCAATTTGGCCCACAATTTACACTGCGTCAAAAGGAAGGTCATGCCCCATCTTTGCCCCATGGGTTGCTACCTGCGAATTTTGATCCAACCTTCTTACAGCCAGCTTATGCTCATGCATTCACGTTTTTGGTTGTCGGCCGGTTTCTCCAACATAATTCCACATCCCGCAGCTGCACTGAAGTTGGCACACGATGCCTGACTTCTCCTACTTAGGTATAAAGTATTTCAGCCGCATTACCTGTTGCTAGATTGTACAGGCAGGCTTGTGGACAACCTCCATTCTGAGAGGCGCGAGAGATCTAACCAAAATTTCGGTGACCCCGTTCATGTAAGAGATGCTCCGCAACGACTTTTATGGGCAAAGTTTTCTTTGACCACGTTTTTCGTGGCATTCGAGTCCGTTTGCTCTGAAATGTTCCCGGAAGAGGCTTTTCTCGTCCCGTTTGGCGCTGCCGTGCTGCAGTGGGTTTCTACCGGTCGCTGTAGCGCGCGTATACAACTTCGCTGGTGTTGCAGCGGGTGATTGCTATTGTAACTCAATATTTGCGACGTGCTTGCTTGTTCAGGTTAGACAGACGTCGGCAGTTTACCGTCCGTTTGACGGCATAGGAGCACGTCCAGGAACTTAAGTCTGCCCTCTACCACTTATTCTATCGTGAACTGTAGATCGGTAAAGGCTGAGTTCAATCGTTCCTTGCAGTAGACTACTTTACTTTGGTTGATGACAATGGAAATGTCGTCACTGTAGCGCACCCAAAATGTTGCCTCGCACTCCTTGAACAACCGTCTCTCGAGTTTTTCGAGTAAAAACTCGGCAATGAGCCGAGGTAATGGAGTGTATTTGATCTCCTCATATATGGTTCCTTCGAAGGTGAAAAAGGTCTTGAGGCAATGCTCCGTGAGTGCTATGACATCCTGGGCCATAGTTTGACCATCTCTCTTATTGTAAATCTGACGTAGGATGTTATGGATGGTTTAGACTGCAAGTGCCTGTAGTATGCTCGTGAAGAGAGAGGTGAGATTGAATGATACCACCGTTTCATCTGCCTCAACCGTGACTGTTTTTTGTCAAGGAACTGTATAGCCGAATGGACTGTCGTTAATGAGCTCACCGCGGGAAAACTCAACCTCTGGAATAACTAGTTTGCCAGCCCCTTTTACTAGAATGTCCATTCTCTAAAGATGGGTAGACGAGACAACTACCCGAAATGTCGGGTGTACAATAATCCTCTCCCAGTGAACGCTACTCCTTCTTCTGATTTACCACCTGGGAATCATATTTTCAGCACTATAAATACAGATAGTGTTCATCGATGCTATACTTCCCCTGTGTTCTGCAGTCCTTACATATGTTCATAAATGAAGGTTTTGTACAGGTTTGCACATTTCTAAGAGGGACGTAGCCGTTATAACGGAAGAACTGACTTTCGATCGGCTGATTTCAATTCTCCGGCAGTTTTGGCAGAGGACAGTTGAGATTTGTTTATTTCCCTACCACAGTTTTGCAATTTAAAAATGTACCAACACATTTATGTTACTTTTAAAATTAAATGAGGCACGCTTAACGGCACAGTGTTTTATTATTTGTTTTAGTGAACTAGATTTGCGCTACTCTCCGCGCCTTAGTGAGGGCAAGGTCGGACTGGCTGAAGTCCGACGCTCGCTGCAATTGACACGGAAGATCACAAAAGTGGGGCTGGCTTTGGCCTTTGTTTGGTACATGCTCTTTTGGCCGTTGCTCACCTTCTCATCCAAGTACCTCACCTTCGACGGCTTCTTCATTTGGGTAAGCGTTAACGCGGTCTTAACTTTACTTCTATCTGTAAGTAATCTTTCGCCTATCCACTTGGCCCTCCCCTATTTTATTTTAACAGTTATTATGAAGTTGCTGAAACGCTTTTCTGGATACGATGATAAACTGCCTGGTACTGAATCAATGAAAACGTTTTAGAAAATTCAAATATGAACAGAATATTCCACCAGTAATCTCACATTGACTTTTGGGCGACGATGAGTGGTAAGGTGTTTTTGGGATGCTAGCGATCCTTTCCAGCTTTTTATTGTCTGTAGTCGATTGTTGTGAAGCAATTGCTCGCGCTTGGTGATCATTAAAGCTGACGTATTACGACACCTTCTTTTCTTATCTGGGAACATTGTGTTAAGCAAGTATGGAAAATCATCAGCAGATCTTCTTGACGAAAACAAGCTGTCATCGGCATAAGAGTGCAAGGTGATTGGCTCAAAGGATGATGGGTCAAGCCCAGTGGCCCCGCGGCCTCTGTGTCACTCTAACGCACGTGGTATCCTAATCGTCCCTAATTTCTACGAAAATGTGTGCTGAGGTCAGTTTAGTTGTGGAACGCGTAGATAAAGGCCGAGTTTACTGTATTTGTCAAGTAAGACGTTATGATTATAGTTCACGTGTGTACTCCGACCTGGTCCAGGATTCCACAACCCTGGCTGCTTCTTCTGGCGAGGTGTT